AAAACTCTTCCTTCATATATATTTGTTATGAAAGTTGTTAGGCCCAAAGAAGAGGCCTAGGCAATTTTTTTTTTTTTTCGAATTTTCTAATTTCTGAATTTTTGAATTTTTGAAATTTTGAAAAAAAAAATTATATATATTTTTTGAAGCTTTGTGGGTAAAGCTTTGGTGTTGAAGTTTTGTAGGTGAAGTTTTGAGGTTGAAGCTTTGTTGGGTACCATGAATTGATTTTGCTTCACACTATCTTGATCAAGTAGTGTGAAGCTTTTGTAGGTGAAGCTTTTGTGTTGAAGCTTTGTAGGTGAAGCTTTTATGATGGGTGAAGCTTTAGTTGGTGAAGCTTTAGTTGGTGAAGCTTTTATGGGTGAAGCTTTTGTTGGTGAAGCTTTTATGTGTGAAGCTTTTGTGGGTGAAGCTTTTGTGTTGAAGCTTTGGAGTTGAAGCTTTGGAGTTGAAGCTTTGTAGGTGAAGTTTTTGTGTTGAAGCTTTTGTAGGTGAAGCTTTAGAGTTGAAGTTTTTGTTGGGTATCATGAATTGATTTTGCTTTACACTATCTTGATCAAGATAGTGTGAAGCTTTTGAGAATTTGTAGTTGTCCTCTATTGATGAAGCTTTGTTGAATTTCCCTTTTTTTTTTGGGGAAACTAGAAATTTGAAAATGTGGGAGAGACAACATATACAAATTTTGCTTCCACACTGTTGAGCAAGAGATTGGGCCTCGTCTTTGGGCCTCATCCTTAAGCCCATGACAAATGTAAAAGGGGAGAGAGCCCTTATTCTATAAAATGGACTCCCTTACCCTTATGAAAGGGACCTCAGATCTCAAAGCCTCACATCCACAGAGTCTTAGATACATCCCTCACAACAATATAGAGGGCAATACACTCTCAGCCAAACGGAGAGCAAAATGGCAAAGGCTGCATCCACAAAGAGCTCCCTTGCCGATCTATTGTAATCCATACATACATACATACATAATCAACATCAGTGTGGACGTAGCCCAAATATTGGGGTGAACCATGATATATCTTTATGTTCTTGGGCATTTGTGTGATTCACGGTCGGATTTACGTTGGTCCAAGATCCTTCGGATTTTGTGCATCAACATTTGGCGCGCTGTCTGTGAGAAATCAACACGAAAAGCTATGTCGGTTCTCTTTCATTTTTTCATCTCACCACACTCCACCGTGAATCTGCACAACCCAAGAACCCAAAACCCTTACACTCTTCCAAATTCCAAACCAAAACTTTTTCAACCAATTCAATAAACACCGTCTAAACATGTTCAGAGCCACCGTTGAGCTCGACTTCTTCGGCATGGACCAGCACCACCGGGAGGCCGCCTCATACTCTTGTAAATCCCAATTCCAGAAATTCCCCCACCGACCTAGAAGCTTCCGAGTCATTCGTACTGTCATGTCCAAGATCAACCCTGAGGTGTTCAAGTCCATCATCGCTTCTGGCAATGCCAGTCCCAACATTCCAAATCCGAGGAAATCGTTTTCGGTGCCGTCGAGCCCACCGCCATTTCCCTGTTTCCCTGTTTGCCACTCTACGTTCCCACCGCCATTTCTGATTCCTCTATTACGTCTGCAACTTTCGAGAGCCTCCAAATCTTTAAAGACAACCTCAGGTACATCGATGAACAGAACTCCAAGAACCTCAGCTACAAGCTCAGTCTGAATCGATTCGTCGATCTGTCAAACGAGGAGTACTGGAACACTTACCTTGGCATCAAGACCCACGCTCAGAAGAAGCGGTTGTCCAACAGGAACACCAAAAGCGACCAATATGCGCTGCGTGTCGGCGATTCGTTGCCTGACTCCATTGATTGAAGGGAGGAATAACGCTGAATTTAAGCGGATCCGATCTGGAAGATAAGGAGCTGGAGCGCCAAGTGCAGGAAATGGCGAAGAAGATTCTCGAGTACAGAGCAACTTTACCAAACCAGCTTAAGAATGCCTTCCCCAGCCATCTCGCAACTCCTGAGAATAATGGAGAAATGGCTTTCAAAGAAAGCCAAGAGAAAAGTAAAAGATAAGTTTTCTATTATTAATTATATAATTACTGTCTGCCATCTGCCAAAAGAAAGAAAAGTAAAGAGAAAGGAAAAAGTAAAACTAGACGCAGCACGCACCAACAACATGCAACTGTCGACCATCAACGTGGAAAAAGATAAACACTTTATCTTTGGGCTGATTTATTTAAAAGTATCATTTGTTTATTTAATAGTTTATTATTATACTATGTTGGTGGATGCTTTACAGTATGCATATTCTTTGAGGAGACCACATCATTTCTATCACACTTATATTTTAGTGTATAGTTAGCAATATATTATTTGCTTTCATGATATGTGTGCATATAATGCGGCACCCCACGATATATATATATATATATATATATATATATATATATATGATCTGATAGTGCGGCACCTCACAATATCTGCTTTTCCATTACTGTTGTGTGCTTATTATGCCGGGTCACGACGCATACACGTCATTACTACTATCATTATTTTAATGTTATATAAATTGCATTACTGCCTAAACGAACGGGGTGACATGTTATAATAATATGTTTTACATTATTATTAATGATTTATCACATGACTATTTTCCATAACAAGTGGCAAGTCTGACCAAATTACACCTTTTTTATTATTTGAATGTTAGGGTGACATAACTTTGGTGGTTCATGGCACGAACATTGTTGATCAACATTGTTGCTGATTAAAGAAGCCTACCGACACTATTGATCAACCTATGGATCACTGAGCCACATGCTTATGGTGACAACTATTTAGTCCGAACAATGATCTCTTGTTTAACCCGACAAACAGACTCGAGTCATGTCAAGAATCAACTCATACTGAGTACATGTCGACATAAAGTAGATACTTGCAATGAGGAATACCACGAGCAGAGCCGCCTCGCAGCGAGTATAGCCTCTAGCCGAGCAGCCTTGCAACGAGCATCGCCTCCAGCTGAGCAGTCTCATAACGTGTGATACCTCTAACCGAGTATTGCTTTGTGATTGAGCATTGCTTTGTGTTGAGTACTGGTTCAAGACATCTAGCCACTTCGACCCGTACATGGATTGGATTTGAAGTCTCCAGCCAAAAGACTCTTTTGACTGAAGACTTGGGGGACTCATGTTAGTACCATATATTGGGCCTTGTCTTTGGGCCTCATCCCTAAGCCCATGACAAATGTAAAAGGGGAGAGAGCCCTTATTCTATAAAAGGGACTCCCTCACCCTCATGAAAGGGACCTTAGATCTCAGAGCCTCAGATCCAGAGAGTCTCAGATACATCCCTCACAACAATATAGAGGGCAATACCATCTCAGCCAAACGGAGAGCAAAATGGCAAGGGTTGCATCCACAGAGAGCTCACTTGCCGATCTATTGTAATCCATACATACATTCATAATCAACATCAGTGTAGACATAACACAAACATTGGGGTGGACCACGATACATCTTTGTGTTCTTGGGCGTTTGTGTGATTCACGGCCGGATTTACGTTGGTCCAAGATTCTCCGGATTTTGTGCATCAACACGCTTTTACATAAAAAAAAGTTTACTAAACACTCAACTTTATTTTACAATTGTTTATTCTCACATAACATCATAAACAATTTTTTTTTTTTAAACACAGTAATACCAAACTAACCTTAAGATATTCCTCTACATCATAATCGATATCGCTCTATCCACTAAAGTCATCAAGGTCATTCAAATGGCAACACGTTCATGATATCTCCTTATGAAGTTATTAAGAGTCATTGTAACAATGACGTTCTTCACTCACTTATCCATTAGAATTGCCCTTCTTTTCTTTTATATCCCAAATTAGACCTGTAGATGAGTTGGTTTTTAAATTTGGGTCATTTTTAATCCAACTCATTATATCAACAAATCATTCAAACTAAACCTGTTAAACTTACGGGTCATCAAAGTATACTACAAGGTTGAAATGGTACCTACACTAAATACGTTGCCTTTTTTATATTATTTTATCATTCAATAATTGATGCATGATGACTCAATCTTTATTTAATGTAATAACTATATATTAGTGGGGTAGATTAAGTGGGGTTAATCTTAATGAGTTCATTAACTCTAATAATGATGCATGTATCAGTAATTATTAAGAGGGGGTTAGAGTTTTTATAGATTAAGAGTATTTTGTATTCTAGGGGAAAGATTATGATGAATTGAATTGAAAATTGAGTGTAGTTTGAGAGAGTTTTCTCATTTTTGTTCTTGTTCTATCAACTTGGATATTCCAACAGAATTAACGAGGTATAGACACCCCAACGATCATTGACCATTCTCGTACAGAGAATCAACAACGCTCGTGTGATAAGCTTCTTGGCATTCTTGGTGAATCAACAAGAGGTTTAAGACTTGTGAAATTCGGTTTTGTCTTTGACAATCAACGAATTTGCAAGGAAAAGTTACGCATTTCGTGTGTTTTTGTTTTAACATTTGTTCTCTATTCGAGGTTCGGTATCTAGATTTATTAATCAACTGATTCGTGTTTTGATCGCCGCATCAATAATGGTCCCCGAATGATCCCTCATACATTGAACCTGCAACTTCGTTGTCGTCTTCCCAATACAAAATACAACAAGGAACTCAATAGAAGAGAAAATTATTCAAATAAGTGAGGTTAAAATAATTATTATTTTTTTTTAACCATCTATAAAAAAAATTTCTGTTATTAAAAATTGGTAAAAAAAATTATAAACAGCAATGTAATTTTATAGAATCGAATTTTATTGTTTTTTATTTATCTAACACTAAAAAAAGAAAAAAAAATTCTCTCTTCCCACTGCCACTCTAATGCTCTCTTTCCCTTTCTCCTTCCCATTTTAAAAACAAAATTAAGAATGTTCAGGCCACAAAGTAGGTAGTCATATGCTGTTTTTTTCTTTTTGGTTATGAAATGAGGTTAAAATAATTAATTTTAAAAGCTTACCAAGAAATAAAAATTCTATATCTATCTATTTTGACAAATTAGAATGGTACAGAGAAGATTAGTATTACAACTGGTAAAAGTGACACGCATAGATCAAGAAATGATCCAATTTTCTTTATAAAAAAAGACAAATTGCAAAAGAAAAAACAAAAACAATTGGTATATGTATTGGTGGTACTATTATTATATGGGGTTTAAGTTGTAACATTACATTGCGTCAATCCCTTTTATTTATTTATGTTCGTGTGAGCCAGATAGTAGGTGTTTCTCCTGTATTCTTCCGCCCAGGAATCTCGGCCCGATTACTGGGAGCTTCTCAGATTTGTGGGGGCATCTCTCTGCAGATAAGTTGCTTTGCTTCTGTATTCTTGATCTTTGAAGAACGATTTTGCGTTTTCTGGAATTTGTTGCCTTGTTCTTCTGCTGACTTGCGTAGTTTTGTTGGTGGGTTTTGGACAAATTTTGTATTCAGTTTGTAAAAATTTGTGCTTGGTGTTGAGTTTTAGGCAATGGGTTTCTGTTTGGTTATGGTGTTTGTGGGAATTGGACTTGCATAAACTTTGATGGTGTAAGACTGTAAGTAGGTTCAGGAAGCTGAATTGAGGGTTGAAAAAGCTCGAAAATCGATAAGAAAGATGATTGATTTTTACCTATGAGTGCATGAGGCATGTGGTTTTAGGATAAGAAGTTGTTGATCTGATTGTTGTTAATAGTAAGGATTAAGGAATGGAAGAGCATTTATCACAAGGAGCAGGAGGAGGTATGGTTCAGGCCGGGGCCTCGTATGGGGGGCTTGATTTGCAGGGGTCAATGAGAGGCCATCAGCAACCCCAACATCCACATACCATACACCATCACCATCCTCAACCTCGTCAAGGGTCGTTGGTCCACTCGCCGATTCCTGAAGGGTTTCCTCTCAAAATGGGAACCATGCATCACTGCGATCAAACCATTTCCATGGTGGATTACAGTAAGGGAGAGAGGTGCAAGAACTCGGCAAGCGATGAGGATGAGCCGAGTTATGCGGAAGAGGGAGATGGTCATGCTGAAGGTAGTAGAGGGAAGAAGGGGTCGCCATGGCAGCGTGTGAAGTGGACAGATCAAATGGTGAAGCTTCTGATCACTGCTGTGTCTTATATAGGTGAGGATACAAGTTCAGATTGTGGCGGTGGGGGAAGAAGGAAATATTCTGTCCTACAGAAGAAGGGAAAGTGGAAATCTGTTTCCAAGGTCATGGCAGAAAGAAGTTATCGTGTTTCTCCACAGCAGTGTGAGGATAAATTCAATGACCTTAACAAAAGGTATAAGAAACTTAATGATATGCTTGGGAGGGGCACTTCTTGCCAGGTTGTTGAGAACCCTGCGCTTTTGGATGTGATAGACTACCTAACGGAGAAAGAAAAAGATGATGTCAGGAAAATATTAAGCTCGAAGCACCTGTTTTATGAGGAGATGTGTTCTTATCATAATGGAAATCGTTTGCATCTGCCTCACGATCCAGCCTTGCAGAAATCTTTACATCGGGCTCTTAAAAGAGATGATCTTGACAATGATGATCTGAGAAGGCACCACCAAGATGATCTTGATGAAGATGATCAAGATATGGAAAATGAAGAGCATGATGACTTTGAGGAAAATAATGCTTTACGTGGAGATAACAGGGGAATATACATTTCAGAGGACTCTGTCAAGAGGTTGAGACAAGGCCAGGGCCGTGAAGATTTTAACTTTGGTAGTTCTTTGAACTCCCAAGACTGTAACAAAAGTTCTTATTTTCATCCCCAAATTCCTCAACCAGATATGAATCAAGTTTTACCTGATGGCACAAAAGCTGCTTGGTTACAGAAGCAGTGGGTTGAATCGCGTTCATTTCAGTTAGAAGAACAGAAGCTACAAATTCAAGTTGAGATGTTGGAATTGGAGAAGCAACGTTTGAAGTGGCAAAGATTTAGTAAGAAAAGGGACCGTGAACTGGAAAAGATGAGAATGGAAAATGACAGGATGAAACTTGAGAATGAGCGTATGGCATTAGAATTGAAACAGAAGGAAATGGGTGCCGGTTTTAGTTAAGTGGTTCTTCTAGTCAGTGTTTATTGCAATAGTGGGACTTCCAGGCAATGTGGCTTCTCTCGAATTCTGTAAGCTGCAGTGGGTTGAAGTATCACATTTGTGGGGGAGCTTTCTTGGAATCATGACTGTACCTGGATGTGCCCGTTGAAACTTATGATTTTGGCAATATCAATGTCTAGTTTTCATTATTCTGCGTATGGTAAAATGACAATTTCCTATTGGTTGAAACTTTTCAAGGAAAGTTGTATGATCAAGATCTTAATAGCTTACTGTATGCTGGTGCTTTGCGTAATTTCATCAGTTTTTTATTTCCTGTACGATTGTTTTGGTTTTCTCAGGTGACCATTGGCATTCATTTTCTTTTCTTGTACTTTTGATCTTCCATGTTTGACTGGCAGCTTTTAAGTATTGTGATTCATTGTCATAGTCCTTCTTCTTGTTATTTTTATTGTTATTGTCTTCTCAAAACAACTTGTACTAGCGATTTACATGATTTTCGGTCTGTGTCCCAACATCCCAAGTAATATTTGCTTTTTTTGAGTAACTAAAAGGAGTGGATTGGTGATTAGGAGCTGATTCTGCAGTCCATCCGGTAAACCCTCCATAAATATGTATGCATGTCATGATCGGTGCTAGAAATAACTGGTACCGCGAGCTTTTTTTTCTTCACGTCATTTGACTACACACTTGTAGCTACTCTGGTGCACACCCTGATTTAAGGTCCAGGGTTATGAATTTCTAGCTTATTAGCTGTTGTATATTTCATGTCCTTAAGTACTAGTTTTGGATGCTTATGCTAATATAGAACTATGTTAGATATTCTGAATCTCGGACGGGAAAGCTTCAATTAGACATTATAATTCGTATAGGTCTCTTTTATTCTCTTGGTGGAGTCTACACTACACGTTTTAAGTGGTTTGTCCACTCCCTCTCCATACCATTTTATCAGCCTGCAGAACATTCCTACAGTTAGTTTTCTTCCCACTAATTTGGCCAGGATTTTTTTTTTATGCTTCAGCATCTCAGTTTTTTCCGTCATTTAATTTAAGAATTTTGTAACTTTGACGAGAGTTTTGAGTTAAGGTATTAATGAGCCAGTTTACTTTACCATCATAGTGAATGCAATAAAATTCCTAAAATCCAAGGGATATATATAGTTTCTCTATGTAGGAATTAGAAATACCAGAATGCTTCACATATATGGTGTATGTTTTGCAGGCTCTGGCCTTGCAAAAGTAATCTTGTTTTTCTTCTGTAGAAATTGAAACTTTCCTATATCCCATTAGCGATCCAAGAGTTGTTATGTTCAAAAATGATCTTATCGTAATATTGTCTAAATGGTATTCTCGATATTTCATCTTCAAGTTCAAGAGTTTATTTTTAGGATCAGTTTATTTTTTAGACTGATAGCACATATTACTTGTACAATAATAATCACAAGTAATTTGCCGGTATAAACAACTGTATTCTGATACTAGGATCTGGCAGTGTATAAACAATTTGGCTAGAATGTAATGTTTGGTCTCCGTAAGTACCTTTAGAAAATTATTACTAGAGGCTAAAGCATTTCTTGTCAATAATATGCTGTTACTTCTGTTTTTTCTTGATCTTTCTGTATTGGTCATTGTGTTAACATGGAGATACTCAAGACAATCTGCTGAACTGAGAACTAGAACTGTGCTGATTTCAGAGCAGGCTGTAGCTGTGCTTTTTACCCCAATATTGTGAGGAAGGATCTCATTCCCGTCAAGATCTCCCAGTTGTTGCAATCAAATGACCCATTGCACATGTCAGGTGCGCTCCTCCTAACTTTGTGGCTCTTTTGGCTGGGCAGTGGTCAGTGCATAATTAGACTTGATGAGAAATGAAGAGATCCTTCACACCATGATATTTTAGCTCAAAATTCTTTAAACTGTGAAGGAAGAATACGAGAACCCGAAACTAACTAGTTGAATGTAAATTTCGGGTCTTGTTTTGTAATTTCTATAGCACCTGAGTCGGCATATAAGTTTCCATAAATGATATGAGGATTCAATGTATATCCTAATTTCTGTTCCTATATTCTATTTTATTTTGGTGGCAAGCTCATGTCTTTTGGTGGCAAGCTCATGTCTCTAGAAATGTTGGAGATACCTTCCCTTCTGATGTTAGCCTACGGGTAATCGGGTATATTTGGTTGGAGTTGCTTTCTGTAATTGCCATTGCAATTACCTCCGTAGCCAGTAACAGATAAGTGATATCTCTCTGTATCTGGCTGAAGAGAAATATTGTAGCTGGTTTGTATATGATCTTTACAGAAATTTTAATCGAAGAAAGAGACGCCAATTTTCCAAGAAGGATTATACTGTTCTTAAATGATTGAATTTCAAGCGTTCCTTGATTGGTGGCTTTAGATATTCTTTAATTCGACACTTTTCTTGTCGTACATTCCCTGTGCATAAGTGAAAAGGATAGAAATGAAAAAGTCTTTGACTGTTTATAGGACTACACAAGTTCTTCAAAGTTGATTGTGTTACTCAACATAAACTTTTTTAAGTTAGGTCAATTGTAAGTTTACTCGTGTTGGTGCCTTGGAGTTTATATGTCAAAATTTATTGGTTTTGAGTTTTTATGTCAGTCAGTGCTGAATGTTTTTCACACCAGTGTAGGCTCATTGACCAACCTGACCTATACTTTTATCCTGCTCCTTAGCTCTCTTACTTAATGTCTCTCTTTTTTGTAAAGAGTGCTAGAATCAATGACCGTATGTAACTACTGTGTCATATTTTGACGATTGAAAGCTCAAGGGAGATGGTTTACTGGGTCCCTAGGGTTATACTCAGTTCGTGAAACTACAGGGAATAGTGCGAAAGCAAGAACGTCTAACTTCTAAGTGCTTTCTATTATGAAAAAGAGGAAACTAATCTTTGTAGGATTACAGCGGTTGATCGACATCAAGTATTGGTTTTCAGTTTGTATATGGGTTGAGTTCCTTGGTTTTTGGGATTTTGGTTTGTCTGGCTCAGAGAACAGTAGCTGTGGTTAAGAAACTCCGTCATAGCAGTA